TTTAATAATTCTGGATTGTCATTCTGTGTATGCTGTGGCATCTGAGCTTGTTATTCTGTGTATGCTGTCCTACTTTCACAAGTTAATTAGGATAGCTGAATTTTCCGAAAAGACGTAAAGTTCATTACATATCAAAGTACTGTCTTGCTTATGATTGTCTGCTCGTGTCGACACACGATGGACCGAGCAAGAACTCGATTAAAACACACAGTTTTCATAAGTTTCCCATCAGTTGTTCTTTGGCCATACGAACCACTTCATGAATTAAGTTAGGTTTTCATTATTTTTCATGGAACCTCTAAATGTATTTATTCTAAGTAAGCTAGTTTTCATTGCATAATTTCCATTGAAGAAATTGCTATGTAGCTACAAAGTTGACAACTTTGAATTGGGACCCTTTTTGTTTGTGTGGAATTTCCTTTTAAGTTGTCTACACTTGACTTTTCATCATCACTCACAATTCACAAAGGGATGTGATGTTTGACATGTGAAAAATATCTACATAAATTAAATTATGAGAAGTACCTTAATTAGGTCTTAGTTATCTTTCAATATAATCATAATTAAATAAGAAAAACTATACCACACCAAATATATTTTTGAAAGAATGTTATACCATAATTTAGATTAGCCTTCTTTTTTTCGTGTTCCAAAGAGCGAGCACATGGATGAACTTTTGTACCATAATTTAGATTAGCCTTCTTTAATTACAAGAATTAGGCAATCACATACTCCCAAATGTAGTATGATTAGTTGTTAGTAGAATTTTGAGCGAATACAAATATCCGCTCAAAATGAGTTTTTTAGGTTGACTAGGATTAATTTTGAAAAATATAATATGATCAGTTGTTGTTAGTAGGATTTTGAGTTTATATTCAAATAATTTTAAAATAAAATAATTAAAGTTGATTTGACGTAAAAATAGTAGAGTAATGATTAAAATTAATGGTTGGTTAAAATTACGATAGGCTGATGAATAGTAAATTAAAATTTATTTGGTAGAATGATTGACTGATATTATTTAATTTTATTGATAATATTGAAAATAGTGGAGTTTAGTTAAAGCTGAATTAGATTTTCAATATGAATTATGAATTGAAAAATTTATAACAAACACCCTCTTAAAATTTATTGAGCAAGATTACAACATTACAATAACACCAACTCTTAATAGTATATCACACAAGATCACCAACTAATGGCTCTTGAGTCTTGAGTACGAATGAGAGCAGTTCAATATAGTTCAAACAAGAAAAAGAGATGTTTGGAGGGATTACAAGCCAGGAGATTTTATTCAACACACTATGGATTTCCCTTTTGCGACGTGAGCCTCTTCTTCAACTTTCCAAAGTGCACAAACAATACGTTGTTGTCCGGAAGATTTTCCTTAATCGCAGGTTCTTGTTTGAAATCTATGGTCCATTGATGCAGTTTGGGCAGAGCTTTTGGTCCGAAAACATGTAGGCCCCCGAGTTCCTGTATGACCTCCAACCAATGGGCAACCCACACGAACGACAAGTCCACCAGCCCGATTTTGTCACCACCAAAGAATTTGTTGTCTCCCAAAGCTTGGTCTTGAATGATTTTGAGTGTGTCGAGCACTTCTTTTGTCCTCTCCTCTTTGTTTTCATCCGTAGTCACGAGTAACGAAAAAAATGTCCTGTCCTGCACGATGTGATCTTCTCAGATGGCGATTATTTTCTAGTTTTCACTCATTTTTTTTTTCCTTAGAGTGATCATGTCGAACCACGGTTCGAAATAACCTTTGATGTCGTGGAATGGTTTACGGTGCTCCAGAAAATGGGAAAGTTGCTACAAATTTATCCTTTAACCCTATGTGGCGCTTCGAAAGAGATGATCGTAGGACAAAAGGAACAAAGTCGAGGCTAGTATTGAGTACTATATGACGAAAGGCCAGACTGACAACACTTTCCACAATCGCTCTTAAGGTACAGTGACTTTCTAAATCTAGCAAAACAACACTCAGTCGTGAGACCCCGTTGAATTTATTACTCTTTTTATCACATCATTTTATATTATTGAAATTCTAACAAGAAGGTTATATTAAAGTAAGAGTACGTCGATTTTCTTTACCTTTTTTCCTGCAAAATCAATCCAAAAACGCGCCACAGCTCTCTCATAAGGATCCGCCGAAAGCAAAGCGGGCCCATGATTGGGCCACGCCTCCTCAATGTACTCGAGTATCACGTCCGACTCAGCCACCGGACGGCCATTGTGGACTAGAACCGGCACCTTCTTGTGAACCGGATTGTACTCCAAAAGAGAAGGGCTCTTATTGGACAAGTCCTCTTCTATGTACTCATACTCTATATTCTTCAAGTTGAGTGCCCATATCACTTTGTATACATAGGGGCTTGGCCCAAAGCCATGCAGCTTCACTTTGGATTCTTCCATATTGTATAGTGCTGAATAAGTAGTTATGCATGTGTTTTCAGTTGAGCTAATTTTATAGTTTGATCTTGACTTGTTGTTGTTGGGGGGTTTGCTTCAGTGTGGGCTCATTGCATAATTTCCTTGAAATTTCTATGTAGCTTCAAAGATAACAACTTTGACCCGGGACCTTTTTGTTTGTGTCAAGAGTTTGAGATTTTCTTTGATTTGTCTACCCAGTTTTTAAAACAACATATGTTGCGTTTTAGTTTTTATACTGTGTCGCGCAAGTAGCGTTGTGTGCTGCGTAAGTTATTTGGATATAAAAAATATTTTTATAGAAATACTGCATATATATATATATGTGTGTGTGTGTGCAGATAATAAAACTGGATGTTGATACAAAAACTTATCGTAATATTTGAATGAATTCAAAAATAATATTTAAGAATTATTTATCGCAAATGTTTAATATAAATATCTTAATATGTATATTTAAATAATAAAACGAATATACTATTTACATGTCATCTTTAAGTGTATTTCATAGTGATTTTTGTGTTCGTTTGGTTGTAGGTTGATATAAATTGTTATTTATTTAAATAATTTTATTAGGTTATGATGAAGTGTTTTTATTTTGAGCTTAAATGAATTAATTTTCTTACTGAAGTAATTTTACTAAAGATATTTGTAATTATATAAAATATAAATTCAAAATAATATAGTATTTTGGTTTTATATTTATGTACAAATATTAAGTTAGTTTGTGTCTTATATTGAGAACTAGAATGTAAAAGTAAGTCTTTAATTGAGAATAACTTAAAATGTAAACTTTCAAATGAGAACAACATTAAAAATTCAGGCTACAAAGTCAAACCCTACAGTATAATTTCCCCATAAAATTACATAAACAAAGTCTTACACCAAGTTCTACCTCAAGACATGATTTTTTTAATAATTTCACTAATATTAAAGAATTTCAAATATTTTACAAAAATCAAGAATTTTAAAAAGTTTCAAAGTGTTAGTCAAATTTTAAAAATCCTCCTTCATTTAATCAGTTTTAATACTCTAACATTTCGTGGTTCATCAATTTTATTTTAATTTGGTCAACTTTTTTCCATTAAGAACTACTGGTTATGTTGTAATTAAGTTTTTCTAATTAATAAAAATTAACTGAATAATATAAATTATTAATTAATAACTAGTACAGAGCCCGTGCGATGCACGGGGTGCACAATTTTAAGGTCATTTATCCATTCTTATAATTATATAAATGAATAAAAAAATATACGGGATATATATAGTACGTGACCTGTAATAGGCCAAAATGTGAACACGGGTGATGCACGGGGTGCACAATTTTAAGGTCATTTATTAGTGCATACCCCGTGCGATGCACGTGATACATATAATAAATCAATTATTTTTATAGGACTTGTACGTCTAGACAAAAAAAACAATAGGCTTGGATCATTCATATTTCACGTCTTTTAATAAGTGGCGTTTATTTAAGCCAAAAAATTAATATGTTAATTAATATATAATTCCGCTAACACGTCATACTAATATTTATTTGATTTTAGAATACATATTTATTCATTGATATAAGAAAAAATAAAAATTTTATTAATTATTGTTCACCATATAATACTCAATTATTATTTTATTATAAAATTTACAGTCATATAATGTAATTATTATTATTTATAAAAATTATACAAGTAGTCTTCTTTATGTAATGAAATTCAAAATAAAATTTTGAGTATAAATGTTTACAAAATACACACACATGTTCTTTTAGAATTCAATTTTCTCATAATAATTCTTTTTTTT